AAGGACACACTGCCACCTTGAAAAGCAATAAAGGCCACCCTTTGTCTACAGAGGATGCTGCAGTTATTTTGCTGCAAATGTAATTCAAACAGGTTCTGGGATCTGAAGTGGAAATATCTACAAAATAGAGGGATACTCCGTTTGGGTTTTTTTTTTTTTTTTTTTTTTTTTTTTTTTTTTTTTTTTTTTTTTTTTTTTTTTTTTTTTTTTTTAAGGAAAGAAAAGGAATCCAGGCCACAAAGAACTACCTCAAAGCAGCACCAGCAGCTCTTTTGATGTTCATCGCTGCATTGCCAACATGTTTGGAAAGTCTACACCGTGTTTGAAATTTCTTGGGATCTTTATATGAAATATGCATATTATAAATATTAAAACTTAAAAATTGTTCTCAAGTGTCAATGTCACCTTTTTAAAAAGTGTGTGTAAAATATGTAAATTCTATTTGAATATTCCATATTCCTTTCAAATTAATAATCCACTATTAAATGAATAAAATTCAGTATTACATGAGTTCTGTCCTCCAACTATATCTCTAGAATATGAACATCTTAAAGGAATTCATTTCTATTGGAAGTGGCACCTTATTTTTTTTAAGGCACTTTAGAATCTAAAACTAATTATAATGTACAAAATAACATATGTTCACATGTTTACAGATTATACTCAAGTTTACTGAACATATCACATGAACGATTTCTGTGAGAAATCCTTCATTTTTATCTGTTATTAAATTTCCAAGTTAATCTACACGCAAAATTATTACAAAGTAACTTGACTCTGCAATGGCTGAAGGACACTTTCCACCATAATAAAATTCAAGGAAAATTAGTGTGGAGATTATGCTTTAATTGCCAGGTCCTAAAAAATAACTGCTTTCTCACAGTAATTGCTACAGCTGACATGTCTATTAAAAAGTGTGATCTGTGTGCACAGAAATGCTCATTCCCCTCCATCTTAAATTTTAAGGGAATTTTGAGCCATGAGGAAACTCCAATAGTGTTTTCCCCTTTTAGAGGTTACTGACACCTGTTTGGCAAGTTTCTTCTGAGACATTATAGCGAATGTGAAGCCTCAACACAAAGCTTTTGAATTTGGTAACGTTACAGTTTCTTTTTAGTTACCCATTCAGCCCATGCCTTATCTGTGCTGCACCAGGCCAACCCTGCAAAACATAGAGACTGGTGTGTTTTAAAACTATATCATGACAATATTAATAGTACTCACATGTAGGCATATGCAGTGACCGTGTTTGGTTTTTAATTTTGAGGACTCCAGTTGTATGAAAATTCATCATCTGAAGTATATCAAGGGTATTCAATGTCATACCACCCTCATGGTCGCTTTTCCTAGATAAATGCTGGGCCTTTACTAATCACGTATGTACGGCAGAAGGCTTCAGTGCTCACAGTGGAGACAAAAGGTTAACAAGAGACCATTGCAGAACAGCTGAAATATCCCCTCTGGTTCTTTTGCATATGCTTGTCTCTGAGATGAAAACTACAATTCTTTGTCTCTTACATGATTTTTTTCTCACCAAAATAACATTTACATGAAGAAAAAATTAGGAGCATCTGAAGGTTTTCATGTTATAATCACATTTACTGTAAAAGCTAAATCAAGTACATTGTGAGGGGGGGGGAAACTGACTCCAATAGAAAGCCGGCAGATTGTGTGTGTGTGTGTGTGTGTGTGTGTGTGTGTGTGTGTGTGTGTGTCCAGGCAAATCAGACCATTTCCAAACAGGGTTTGTCATGGAAACAGCATCCTAATGGGGTTAGATCATCAGTGTCTCTATGGTTTTCCGGGTAAGTTCTATTTTGTCATCAATACTGAATGAAGCAAAGTCAACCAAATCAGACAAAAATCCCCCTGGTTTTATGTATCCCACATACCTTAAAATAAATTGCGCTCTGAAAACAAAGCCTGACAGTGAGTTAAAAATACTATTTGAACGTTCAAATGCAGAATAAAAAGCCTTTCTGAGTCAAATTCACATCTGCATCTTTTTAAAGACATCCACAGCAACACTGGTTTTGACATTTATTCCTGGGATCAAAACTAATGAATTGTCTTGAAATTTTCTCCCAAATGTTACATAATTACCTAATGAAACATGTTTTAAGTTGGCTACAGAATTACTGTTTTTCATGTGTATCTATATATGAAAGGTTCTCAAATATTACCTTTTCTATTAATGTAACAAAAACTAAAAATACAGCTTCTTGATACTTAAAATGATATGTTTGCCATTAAATTAAACTTTAAGTGTCTTAAAAAGAATTAAGATGTATAACACAATTCCCTGACAACCTGAAGACCATTCTTTGTAGTAATGGTCTTCTCTTTAGCCTTTTGTTCTTTTACTTTAAAAAGTAATGGAAAAATGTAATAAAGGTGTTTTTAATCTCCAGATATTTGAAGTTTTTCAGTAGCATTCCTTTCTCATATCATTTCCATATTATAAAATGTAAATTGTGTATTTCTATTTTAAAATTTAATTATGTCTATATATAGTCACATACATGTGTACAGATACATGCACACACATACATATAAATTCCGAGGAAGAGTAGGTCAACTGGGAAATCCCTCAAGGAAAGAAAGGTTCTTCGAACAATATGAAAATGGAATCTTCAGAAGTAAACAAACAAACAAACAAACGAAACAACAGACTTCCATAATCTACCGCTCTCCTAAGATGCTTAGGAACTGAGTCGGTGGCCACTTATGGGTTGCCTGCTTTTGTGTTTGGAGTGTGTAGGTAACTGGAAGACAAGACAATCCCTCATGGAGCATCAGAGGTGAGGACTGAATGATAAACCTCTATAGCAAAAGTCATGGAAATGCTTCCCTTGAAAGAAAAAAAAACTTCAATGGTAAAAGTGAGAGTTACCTTTTAATAATAGTATCATTCGATATTATTATTATTCCAAACAACATTGAGGCCTTCTGCTGCCAAGACAGCACCTTTTGCATGGGACTTGGTGGATGCCACCCGGAAGGCAGTCAGGCTGGGCATTCTCTGGATTAGACTTTCTCTCCAGTTCTTGAGGTTGTGATATTACGGGGCTGGATACGAGGCTGAATTATAAACTGAGAAGATGCTTCAGAACGATCTGTTGTTATGAGGCACAAAACAATGTGATTTCGTACAAAACTTTCGTTTTTTTATTTGCGAAATTAAAAATATGGCATTTTATATATATAAACTTCTATTCCTCTATAAATATAAATGGTCTTGTGATAAATGGACAGAATAAATGCATACCAAATTCAAAAACCAATGTCAGTTTAGGGAATGACAGACAGATAAATTTAAGTCCTATGTGCTGGCGTTTTTGATAAACTCTTAAACACTACAATCAGGAGGACGGCGTTTTTGATAAACTCTTAAACACTACAATCAGGAGGACGGCTTTTCTCCTCTTCAGAGAGAACTAAAGTGAATGTTCTAAATGGCTTTGAGAGACTCACACTCGACATACTGCTGTAAATCCACACAGGAGCACACAAGGTGGATAGGATGCAGTAGGAATGGACACACTTCCGATTCAGCATGCACGCTTACATTGCGTTTGTTTCTCTCATCCACCTCCTCTGTCTTCGGAAGTATACCAGACTATTCCTGGGGCTGTGGATGGCTCCTCCCTCAGAATGAGTGGCTGAGGAATCATAATATGTTGATTCTGTACAACTTCTCAGCTGTACAGTTGATACAAGTCTAATTACAATTTGATTAAAACCAGAAAACAGCGTTTCATTTTGAGGAAGTCCACTCCACTGAGATCTCCCTAAATTTTCATAATCTGTGAATGCTCTGCTATCCTTCTAAGGAAGGCAAAGGTCAACTCCTCACAAGGCTTTCCAGGCAACCTCAAAGTCTCCATTTCATAGAAGGGTAAAATCTAAAAGCAGGCAGCCTCACGGAATTGAATGGGGGAGGGGCGGGAGCAGGATATCAACCATCAAAATGCAATTAGAACTAACAATTTATAATCTCCCTCTTCAGTTTCTTCCAACCCACACAAAGCTTGCTGTTCTTCCACAATTACTAGCCACGTCTTTCCATAATGATGGCCAAACCCATAGCAGGTTCTTACACTAAAGAGGAAAATGAGATCACCCATAAAAAGTCAGACTTTCCGAAGTTAGGCATTAGTTACCACACTTACTCTCTGACCAGTTTAGGTGGGAAGAGGGAACATCCAGGCGAGGAACAGCAGGGAAGAGGGAGGCTGGGTCAACAGGCAGTGACCACCAGGTGGGCCTCTATGAAACTGGAAGGTGGCTCTCAAAACCAGCATGGGAAGTCACAGGGGCGAGGCTCCACACTGTACCTCTAAATGGGGGAGGAACTAGAATAGAATGGGCGGGACCCACCTCCAGATGGGGAAACTTGGTGAAGTTCTGCACCTTGAGTTTCTACTGCAAGCAAGGAGGGGAGAGAGAAGCTGAAGGAAGCAGCTATGGAAAATGACCCTCGAGAGGCACCCTGTCCCAGCCCTCAGTGCCATTGTGAGCCAAGCCAGCGCTCCCACAACTGCGGTGGGCACAAGGGCCGGGCACTCAGCAAGTGTGCTCCCTTGTGCCTCCTCTGTAGTCTTCAGAAAAAGGCAAGTGAGAAAAGCTTCAAATACTTAAACCTCCCTAAATAATTAAACATTTTTATAAAGAAAGGAAAATCGCGTGTTCGGTAGTCTTTAAATACAAATATACTTACAAAAATCTTACATGGGCTATTTACAATCAAAAAAGCATACAGTCCAAGCATCAGAGCTAAGACTGGAGAGATGGGTCCACACACACACACACACACACACACACACACACACACACACCTCTGGCAGTTGGGCCCTCTCTCCTTTACCCCAGGGATGGAAGTTTTTGCAGGAGCTCTGTTGTTTGTTGGAAGGAGCCTGGAAAAGTTGAGGGTCTAGCGAGGAAGCCTGGCATGGCCAGGCTTGGCAGAAATTCCTTGGGGCTAGCTTTCAGACAAGGGCAGGATCTGACCAAGACCTGGGGAAGAAGGCATAGTTCAGGTCTCAGACGGTAGTCTCCCCCTGTTTGCTGTTGGTCAGCCTTGTGTAGAACTTCCTCCAAGAGTTCAGTGTTTTGCCGGACCAGATCCAGAAGCCAGATGTAATGCCCACGATCAGCGTCATGAGATACTTGATCATGAAGACTGTAAAGTCGGGGCTCATGGGCGGGTGTGGTGGGACGCCTCCACCCCCCTGGAGGTGAGGGCAGGGGATGGCATAACTCTTGCAGCTCTGGGCCACCCAGCTGCGCTCCCACTGGTCCCGGAAGGCCTGCTCATAGAAGTAGCAGGCAATGACGATGGTGGCTGGCACCGTGTAGAGCACGCTGAAGACACCGATGCGCACCATGAGCTTCTCCAGCTTCTCGGTCTTGGTGCCGTCGTGCTTCATGATGGTGCGGATGCGGAAGAGTGACACGAAACCGGCCAGCAGGAAAGATGTGCCGATGAACAGGTATACGAAGAGCGGCGCCAGCACAAAGCCCCGCAGCGCATCCACGTTGTTAAGGCCCACAAAACACACTCCGCTCAGTACATCGCCGTCCACCTGGCCCAACGCCAGGATGGTTATAGTTTTGATGGCTGGGACAGCCCAGGCGGCTAGGTGAAAATACTGCGAGTTGGCCTCGATGGCTTCGTGGCCCCACTTCATGCCGGCTGCCAGGAACCAGGTGAGGGACAGGATCACCCACCAGATGGAGCTGGCCATGCTGAAGAAGTAGAGCATCATAAAGAGGATGGTGCAGCCCTCCTTCTTAGTGCCCTGCGCGACCGTGCGCGCCCCGTCCTCGGCAAACTTGTCGTTACACACCACCCGGTCCTCCAGCAGAAAGCCAGCGATGTAGGCCACGGCCACCGCTGTGTAACAGCCGGACAAGAAAATGATGGGCCGTTCCGGGTAGCTGAAGCGCCGCATGTCCACTAGATACGTGAGCACCGTGAAGAGCGTGGAGGCGCAGCATAGCACCGACCAGATGCCAATCCAGGTGCGCGAGAAGCGCAGCTCCTCCGGCCCGAAGTACATGAGCCCATAGACCTTGGTGGGTTCGCAGGGTGCGCCGCAGTCCTTCTCCCCCAGAAAGTGATAGTTGAGGTAGGAGGGTACCCTGAGGGCGCGCGGGCAGGAGAACTTGCCCCGCTCCACCGTGCCGGCGCCCCCCGGGTAGCCACCTCGGTAACCACCGCCGCCGTATTGCGGATTGCTGGTCCAGAACTCCGGCAGCAAGGAGGGAGTCGGGGTACCTTTGTCGGACGTGTTCTGGCCCACGCACAACTCTCCAGCGCCGTGCACCGGGAACTTCTCACACTTGAGCGTGTCGGGCCACTGGAAGCCGAACTTGTTCATGAGCGCCTCGCAGCCCTGGCGCGCGCGCTCGCAGAGGGAGCGGCAGGGCGGCAGCGCCTGCTCCAGCACCGTGCACACCGGCGCGTACATGGAGCACAGGAAGAACTTGAGCTCGGCGGAGCACTGCACCTTCACCAGCGGGTAGAACTGATGTACCTCCAGGCCCGCGTCCTCCTGGTTCGTGTGGCCCAGCAGGTTGGGCATGATGGTCTGGTTGTAGGCGATGTCCGTGCACAGCGGAATGGATATGGGCTGGCAGTAGCCGTGGTCCGGGATGGAGATGCCCCGTTCGCCGTTGTACTGCTGCCCGCCCTGCTGCTGCTGGGGCGGCGGCGGGGCTTGCTGGCCCGGCCCGGGTACCTGGCCCGCCGCCTGCGCTCGGACCCCCAACAGCAGCGGGGCCTCCAGCAGCCAAAGCAGCAGCAGCAGCCCGCTCGCCCAGCGCCGGGGGTCAGCCCCGGGACGGCGGTGGCCGGTCGCTTCCCCGCGCCCCACCGCCTCCCGCTGGTCCCGGAGAGCCCCGGCACAAAGTTCCCAGCTCGGCCGGCCCGAGGCCGGGGACTCGCTAGGCGCCGCCTCCTCAGCCATACTTTTTCGGCTCCCTCCTCGGCGCCGGTCGGCTGGGGCAGGCAGCGGCGCGGCGGGTGGCGGCTCCCAGGGTCTTCGGGGAGAGCTGGTCCCCGCTTGTGCCCTCCGTCGGGCTGCGGTCGCGCTCCACCCGCTCGCCCAGATCCTGCTCGGAGTCCCGCAGCCGCCGCCGCCGACGCAGAAACTTGCGGTTCATGAAGCGCGGGCGGCAGGGAGAACGAACGCGAGTGGTCCCGGCGATCCGGGGTCGCGTCCCTCCTTCCCGGCCCGCGGCGGGCTGGTGGCTCTCGGCCCGCGGCGCCGCGCTAGTGGCCGCAGCCTGGGAGAGGAGCGGGCAACTCTCGGCAGCCTCGCCGCCGCCTCGGGTCCCCCCCTGCGCCTCCGCCTCCTCCTCCTCCTCGGCCGCCGCCTGACCATTTGTGTCAATCCCTCAACTCGCTGCCTCTCCTCTCCCCCGCGCGCCCTCCAACCGGTTTCCAGGCGCCCCGCAGTCTGTCTTTCACCGAGAGGGAGGAGCCTTGAAACCGACACGGAGCTAGAGGCTCAGGGACCGTCGCCCAATCGCGGCACCCGCTGCCGAGCGTAAAAGGGAGCCCTTTCCCTCCCCAGCCTCGGCTGGAACCGGCTGCAGGCGGGAGGAGGAGGAAGTGGTTGGTGGTGGTGCTGGAGGTGGTGGTGGCAGAGGCACCGCTCAGGCACAAAGAGTAGCTATGAAGCGGGACGGGCTTGGTTGCTTTTGCTTGCGAGGAAGAAAGAGCGAGGACAAGTAAGAGAGTGGTCCCATATGCTGCTGGAGATAATGAATAGGAGTCGGCGGGCCGCGGGATTTAGCTCTGCTCTGCTTTTTTTTTTTTTTTAAATCTACTTTCATGTTTTAAAAATCCTACCCTCGACTCTAGTCACAAACAGCTACTTTGAGCGCTGGTTCTGAATGCGTGCCCCTGACTTGAGAATCGGGTTTCCTTTGAGTCTAAGTCTGTCGAGATTTCGTTGAAAATATGACTCCAATAAACCGTGGAGCTGGCAGGCTGGGCTCGGCGGGCTTTTGGACGCGCCATTTCCCTGGATCACTGTCGAAAGAAAACAACAGAACCAAAGTTTGGTGGGATGTAAAATGTGAGCTCAGATGCGCCTTCTATTAGTAGTGTACTTCGGGCAGGCATACTTCACCCCTCCTTTTTAATGGGATCAGAAACCAGCAAAGGAGAGCTAGCTACCCATTAAATGTTAGAGGAAAGCGGTTGAGAACCTGAGAACTGAAGCCTCGGGTGCCCCAGCGTCAGACCCAGGGTACACCCAGACAGAGGAGCAATCCCGGACCCGTAGGGGGCCCCTTTTGAACTCGGGACACTGCTGAGTCCGGTATTTAAGTCCCCCAGCTGAGGTGCTCACAGCTGAAGGTATTCGTTTGAATACAATACACAACCAAATCTAGTCTGAAAGCAAAGGGCCAACCAGGCTCCCACAACTCCAGAGAGAGAGAGAGAGAGAGAGAGAGAGAGAGAGAGAGAGAGAGAGAGAGAGAGAATATGAATCTGTCTCAATAGATACACACACACACACACACACACGGTTTTTTTTCTTGATTATTTTAAAGAATTTATGTGGCTCAGATTTTCAATAAAGTACCATTGCGTTTTACTAATTCTATTGAGATTTTTCTCTCTTTGATGAGCCTTATCTGGAGAGACTGTTTCCCGATTATTTTCTATCGTTTATATATTCATTCGTTCAGTAGATACTTACCAGACATCCATTATACACTGAGCACTGTCGCCGGAGGTAAGGGACACAGACGAAGCCCTGGCGCATCCTTAAAGTAGGGCACAGTACAGTGGACACAGGGATGTAAACCAGTGACAATGGCAATGTACACCCGCGATCAAAAGGGCACAAGGGAAACAAATGGGCAACTAACAGAGGCCACAAGAAGTGGGAGGGTACTATGGAGAGACAGATGTCAAATGCGAAAGACAGAAGCCTAGAACAGCTTAAGTTTCTGAAGGGCAGGATCAGAAGAGTGCGCACGCCCTGGGCATGAAGGGAAAGAAAGGGCTCTTTAACTCACGCAAAATAGCAGGGGCCAAAGTGTTCAAACAATGGGGCGCTATTGCAGGTGGCTTCTCCCCCTCCCCCGAAACAGGAAGTGGTTCCTGGGTGACTGAAACAGGGAACAGGGTGCAAAGCTGTCCTGAAGAAACATCAACATTCCTCTATACATACAGATTCCCGCTCAAGATGGGACTTGTCTACACGCTCTGCGAGGTTTGTCACCATGTTGATGTCTGAGGGAAGCTGCAGACATACCTTTCCCTATGAAATCAGAGTGGCATCTATTTTGTCTCATAGATATGTTCATAGAAACCTTGATGTTCACTTTAACGTTTATTTTGAGTCTTTGCATGGAAGCCTGGTGAAACTATCCCCATGCCTCAGACTTCTGGGTAGCTTGACCACAGGTACACACCACTGTGCCTGGCATGATTTAAAGTATTTTTGAAGAGAAAAAGGAATTTCTTTAAGTTCCTAGCATTTTTTAAAGAGCAGCAGGTACTAAAAACATAGTCAGGTCACAGGTATTTGGGGACAGAAGTGTTGAATGTAACCCATGTGTCACATTTTGATGGTGAGAATGAGGTGGGCGGGAAAGTCCTCTTCTGAACACTCATGTTCATTGCTCATTTTATCTTCCTATAGCTTCCTGGTCCAGACTCCCAGGTACGGGCTCCCTAACCTTCTGCTAAGCTGCCTACCCATCTTTCCTCAGGCATAGCATCTTCACTGAGTCATCTCCCTCCTCTTAGACATCTGTTATAAAGATGCACCTGTCTTGTGTTTCATCCTCAAAATTATTGAGCTGACGGTGCTAGGTGGGACGTGAAGTTATTAAAATGTATTAGCTCCTGAGAAGCATCACATAAATTAAGCCTTTACCACCACTATGACCCCACAGTCTCTCTTTCTCTTCAAAGAAACAGGGCAGAGCACGGAATAGTAAAGAGGGCTTGGTCTGTTTCACAGAATAAGAAACAGCTCTGTTTTCAAAGTTGCTCCAGTGAAATTCCCAAATGTTCATCTCCCACCTAGCGATGAGATTAGGAAGGAGGCTGAAAATGACAGTCAGGGTTTTCACCTACAGGAACCCAGGTCATTCCTATCACGTCATGGAGGACCCTGAAGCTGCTATCCGACCAAAGATATCATCTAGGAACTAAGTTTTTTTTCCAGTTTACAATTCACAACACTAGGTCCAGATTGAAGGGCTGTGTCGGCTTCAGGTTAATGGATGATCTGACATGGATTTCATCAGTTTCCACAGTCTTCCAAGTAACTTTCACTCCTGTTATTGTTTTTAAAGTCGGTTTTTTTAGTAGATTCTTTCTTTAAAGAGATCACATAGAAAAGACTATGCAGAATTTGAAAAGAGATCATTTTCTCAGAGTTGCCTTTCAGTGTATAAGTCCTCTAAAGTAGATTTCCTGTTTATTTGTTGTATCAATACAACGTTTTACATACTAAGCACTCACAACACAGAAGTTGCTAGTTGCTACTAATGTTTAAAAAATAAAAATCAGTTTTAAAAAGTAAGCAATCAGTGCACGGCGCACCATGGCTACAAGCACCAACTCATTAGAGAGAAAGACCACTGAGATGGTGATGCAGGCAGTGGAGAAAAGGAAAAAAATATTAGAGAAATTTGAGCGCTGTATTTAAAACACTATTTCCTGGGGACGTGGAACGTTTTGTGATTCACGGATTAAAAATGATTAAATTAGTATGAAATGTTATGGCCGTGGTAATAAAACATTTCAACTACTCCAACATAAACTAATAAACATAACCTGATTTCTTCTTAGTATTACGTAGCCAGGCATCAGAATCGGCTACATTTTTTTCTTATTTCAAAGATCTCCTTTGAGCAGATCTTTCTTAAAAAGTGTGAAGATTCACAAACTGCTTACACCAGTTGAGTGTGGACGGTGAGTAACGAGGGATAGAGATCTGTTTCAGTTACAAGGTTTCCTATAGGCACTCAAGCAGCTAGGTAGACGCTTCAGGTGTAGCCAGAGAGACTCACTGGGAAGGAATTTGGTTTGTTGTTGCTTTCAGATGACAGGCTTAGATAGCCTCTGTTGAATAACAGAAATTATATCATGGATTATGACGATGTTCTTCTGAGACTATACCTCGGATACTTTCTTGACATTGATTCACCCGCATTGTGTTGTTTGAAATGTATTTTGTTATGGATATTGATTATTAGCCCCACATTAACAGGTGAATCTAAGTCTCTTGGTACTAAACAATACTAAATTCTCAGTGACAGTACATATCAGGGTAGGCCTTGAGTCTGACCACCGAGGGCAATCTGTAAGCATACCCACTTCCAAAAAATCACAGAAGAAAACACAGTTTCTAGGTGAAGATCACGGTGGCCCCTTGGTCTTTAATGTAGTTTCCTGTAGCAGGATACTCGTGTAGGTGAAACACTGAGATTCGCTGTTGATTTGGGCCAGATTTTCCAAATTGTCTTCCGTGCAATGCATGATCTTCCCTAAGGGTGTTCTGTAAAATAAGTTTGTTCAAAGAAATTTATAAAAAAAAAACATACTCTATGTTCTTATTGGAGATTTATGATAGTCTAAAGTCTATGAGAGGTGCTAAAGTAAATAATAAATCTCACTTTAACCTTTGTCCTATCCAGCATTATTTTACAAACACACACACACACACACACACACACACACACACAGAGAGAGAGAGAGAGAGAGAGAGAGAGAGAGAGAGAGAGAGATCACATCAATGTTCTGCTTGCACTAACGGTCCCCGGAATGCAGTCTGAGTACAGCTGGGATGGTCTATGCATTGTGAAGCTGTATCACACTGTACCACAATACTTGGACTCTTACTTCTGGATCACACAGATGTGTCAGGAGAAAGAGAAAACTTGCTCCACCATGCTTTGGAGCCCCAGGTAAGTATGCTGATTGTTTGAGGGGTCAACAGTGGTAAAGGGGCTCACTGTATATTCTCCCCTCTCTGGGGTAGCAGCAAAGAGGAGTCCCCTCTGCTGTCTTTCAAGAGATAGACTTGGTTTCGAGTACTTAACATTTTACTAGAGATTTCCAACTTTT